GAAGAAAAGAGGAACAGGCAGGCGCAGAAGACAGGGATATAAGAGTTACAGACACACCTACAAAGGCACATATTTACACAACACATACACACGCACTCGCGCACTCACACACACACACACACACACAAAACACATACATAATCAACTACACAAACTGAATACGAGACACAAATAGTAATATAAGAAATGTAAACCAAATGTAACATATAAGTTGTAAATAAATAAACTAACTAACTATACAGGATGCACAGTTCATAAGCAATTACAGCAACAACTATTTCCAATACTAACAGAAAAAACGTTAAATCAAAACAATATTCAAGTTCATCAAAATTCAAATTGAAACTTAAATGTCAACGTCAATAGAATTTATGAGACCAAATATAACATATGCACAAGTAATATCAAAACAAAACGATCAGAGTGAGATAAAAATAAAAAAATAAGCAGTTGTTCAAGCAGAGCTAAGTGGACATATTAATTACGAAGTAAATACAAATAATAAACTCGAACATATAATGGAGCAGCTGATGCAAAGAATGGATACTATGTTACATTTTTCAACTGTACTTGTAAACCAAATGGCATAATGAGCAGTCTAAAACTCGCTAACTGGAACGCAAACGGTCTCATACAGAGGCATATCGAATTAAAAGCATTTTTAATCTATGAAAATATAGACATAATGTTAGTATCAAAAACACACTTCACAAGTAATAACTAACTTAATATACCAATCTACGTATACTGTACATAAAACCAATCACCTGTTTAATACAGCACACGGAGGTACTGCGATTAGAACCAGTATAATCATTAATAATAAAAACGGACTGATAACAATTTCAGCTGTTTACTGCCCTCCAAACAAAGTAATTACAAAAGAAAACTGAACTAAACTTTTCATCACATTAGGAAATCGCTTTATAACAGGAGGCGATTATAATGCGAAGTATTCGTGGTAGGGTTCGAGATTATCAAATTCTACCAAACAATAACAACATTCCATTATTCCCTGGGTAAATAACATATTGGCCAACAGATTTAAATAAGCTACCAGATTTGATAGATTTTGCAATTGTAAAAGATATAAACAAAAAATATTTTGAAATGTCTTCATGGCTAGACTTAACTTCAAACCATTGTCTAGTATTAATTTTTCCGTACTCCTAAGTACTTTAAATTATAAACAAGTATACAAAAACTGACTGAAAAAAATATTCTCTTTTTATTGTGAAATGCATGAAACATAATGTTCCTCTTAAATCGGCTACTAATATAGAAAGCAATATTAAAACGCTCAATGTACTTCTAACTGAAGCTCTTATCGAATACTCTACTACTATCAACTAAAAAAAAAACAGCAAATCTCGTTCGTCAGCATAACTTAAATATTTGAAGAAAAGAGATTACTCAGAAAAATATGTAAGCTGATCAGATCAAATAATGATAAATGTAAATTAAACAAAGCAATTAACAAGTTAACGAATATTTTATATAAAGAAAAATCACACAAATGGAGAATTATGTCGGAGCACTGAACATACATACATATATACATACGTACGTACGTACATACACACAAACTACTACAGAGTAGTTAGTAGAACGCGGTTACCCCATCCGATACAGAGGAACGTAGGCTCTGGGGTCACCTATGTCCACATACATACATAGATACATACATACATACATACGTGCGTACGTACTTACATACATCATTTGGTGAATGCGGGCTCTAAAGCCGTAAACGTCGCCCGGGCGCTAGCGGGCATCATGCCCAATATAGGAGGACCAAAGCAGCCGCGTCGGTTGCTTCTTGCGTCGGTGGTGAGTTCCGTCATTTTATACGGAGCTCCAATTTGGGCAGATGCTCTGCACAAGCACAAAAGCTATGGCGACCCATGCCGGAGAGCCTGCAGGGTGGTCGCGCTGAGGTTTGCATGTGCCTATCGAACCGTGCCCGATATTGCCTTATCCGTTGTTGCAGGAATCCCACCAGTGGACCTGCTAGCAGCCGATAGGGCTGAAAGATACCGTGGAGAATGGCGTACAGATGGAGACCGACGAGACGTATGATGGACAGAGAGGACGATGATAAAGTGGCAGGGTAGATGGGACCTAGCCGCGGAGGGTCGCTGGACCCATCGCATCATCCCAGACGTGAGAAAGTGGACGAGCAGAATCCATGGCTTTGTCACTTTCCAGCTAACGCAGGTGCTTACAGGCCATGGCAACTTCCGCAGCTACCTTCACCGCATTAGGGTGATAGATAGCCCGGAATGCCCGGCCTGTCCTGGCGCAGACGAGGACGTGGAACACGTGTTGCTTCAGTGCCCTCGGTTTGGGGATGAACGGAGTCGATTCCAGGCACTGTGGAAAGGACCTCAGACTCCTGAGGGTGTTGGCACGTGCCTCCTGGAGTCCCAGGATGGATTGAATGCGGTGACGACCCTCGTAACGACCATCGTCGATCGGCTGGGTCTCATCAGGAAGGAGGAAGAAAGAAGAAGACGAGGAAGAAGAAAGAAGAAGCCATCGAAATTAGATAGGTGTCGAGATGTGCGGTAGATGCACCGACTTAGGAGGGGCTGCTACAGCCGATGCCGTCCCTCGCGAAGTAATGCCTCACGGCAGTTCCCGTGGGGGACAGGTAAAATAAGAGTTGGAAGTTTAGAGGGTATGCCAGTCCTTTTACAGGCTGGAGAGTCCCACACACGGTGAGTCCCGATGGCTCACTATGGTGCGTAACGCATTCTCCAACTCTTCGGAAAAAAAAAAAAAAAAAAAAAACGTACGTACATACATACATTCATATATACGTACGTACGTACATACACATAAACTACCACAGAGTAGTTGGTAGAACGCGTTTACCCCATCCGATGCAGAGAAACGTATGTTAGGCTCTGGGGTCACCTGTGTCCATAGGGTAATAAGGTGTCAGCCTATCCTAAGCGCTCCCCTGCCCTTACAGGTGAGCAAAGGACATTAGGTTGGGTTGAACTCAGTCTCCCTCAACCGATGCAGAGGAACGTAGGTGTTGAGGTTGAATCTGTTCAGAGGATGACCGGACGATGCCGATAGAAGAAGATGACCTCACGATGCCTTTAAAAGAAAATGAAAGGAACGACGCCGGAAGATGACGAAGCTTATTAGCCGAAGACGATTGAAAATGGAAGAAACTGAAAAATCCGATACGCAACGAAGAAGACGAAGCTGATACGGCAAATACTCCCCCCCCCCCCCGCGAAATAATACCTAGCGGCAGTTTCCACGGGGAATACAAGCAAGGCATAAAAAGGTGGGAGTTTATTGGGTATGCCATGCTTAGGAGACTCCTACACGTGACGAGTCTGATGGTTGTTACGGTGAATACAACATTTTCCCCCTCTACAAAAAAAGAAACACATACATATATACATATACATATACATATATACATATACACATATATACATACGAGGGTCGTTCAATAAGTTCCTGATTTTAAATAAAAAAACACTATTTTGTTTCATCTTACTCGAGCTTTTTTACTCTCTGAAAAGTATGTTTTATCAAACCCCTTAAAATTTTCATTCGTCGCAGCAAATTATCTCTTTGTTTGATGAAAATCATTTATGTGTAAGCTAAATTTTCATGTCAGGAAACAAAAAATAATCAGAAGGGGCCAAATCTGGAGAGTAAGATGGATGAGGAAATATTTCGTTGCGTAAATCAAATAGATTGGCCGTTGCAATGGAACTTGTGTGAGCTGGTGCATTGTCGTGGTGGATAAAAACTTTTTTTTCGACAGATGGGACCGGTTTTCCTTCAGTATGACATAAAATCGGTCTAATAATGAGGCATAATATTTTTCTGTAATAGTTCTTCCACTCTGAAGGTAATCAATTAATATTATACCATTTGAGTCCTAAACAATTGTAGCCATGACTTTTCCGGCTTATCGTACGTCTTCGCTTTTTCTACACAAATTCACCTAGCCTAGTCCTCATTTTCGACTAATTTTTCATTTTTGGCATATAATAATGATTCCATGTTTCATCAAAAGTAACGAAGCTTCACAAAAAATTCTTTAGATTATATTGAAACTTGCTTAAATATTACTTAGACGTAATCACACGAGCTCGTTTGTTATCAGCTGTGAGTAAGTGCAGCACCCATCTTGCAAACAACTTTCTCATGCCCAAATATTCATGTAAAATGTTCCATGTGTATCCTACTGAAATGTTAAGAACTTCACCAATCTCATGCGATTTCAATCGGCGAGTACAATATCCTGAACCTTATCCATTATCTCTCAAGTAGTCACCTTTTCAGACCTCCAGTACGCTCAGTATCACTTATTCTCTTACGGCTACAATGAAATTCAGTAAACCACTTTTGAACCATGCCATGCAATGGAGCAGAATCTCTATATATTTCCCGAGTTTTTCTTCAGTTTTTTTTATTGATTTTCCCCATAGGAAATAATGTTTAATAAGCACACAAAACTCATTTTTTCCCCATGATTTTGTTATACAATGAAAAACTAAATTCAATTGACTTTAGAAAATTTCCAAACCATCGTACTTATTTGAAGTTTTCTGTACGTACTTATTAGATGACACTCTCTTGCAGTGTAAAATACGTTACGATAATACCATCATTTGCCGAGAAGTCACGGACTTATTGAATGACCCTCGTACATACATACGGAGAAAGAGAGAGAGAAAGAGACAGAGACAGAGAGAGCTAAAGTAGTAAGAATAAAATCTTAATAGTGTAGTTGTATCTATAGCAACACATGATCTTTTTTTAGAAAATTAACATTTAATCATTTTATTTTGTCTTGACTTTTGGTAAGACATCATTATATGTGAATTATGTTATAATATATATTCTCTTGTATCAAATTATTGATAAAAGTTAAATGCAGAAAACTTTCTTAGATATGTATTAGAATATGAAGATAAATTAATAGTCGTGTAATTATAAGAAACTTTATGTTGATGTTGCAGGAATCTTAAAGAAGTGGCAGTTGATTTTCTATGGGACAGCAGCAAATCCTATAAGAATTCGTAATCTTCAATATAATTCGGTACAGACACTCTTTAAATTACATTCTAATCATTGTATCTATTTGTTAGGCTAAATATTATACTTATTGACTGTAGTCAATAATCTAAAGATTTGTATTTGATCTTCAAATTTTAGGCTTATCAAGGATTTTATACTGGAGCCGCTTCAAGTTTTAAATCATCAATGGCGACATTGGATAGTAGTTCAGGTTCACTTATGACAAATAAGTTGCCTGAGCTTGATGCTTCTCCTCTAGAAGTGACCAGGCATGTACAATTCCACGACTGCGATTCGCAATGCGATATTCAAGGCTGTTACGGAAAAGGACCAACTCAATGTGTCACCTGTAAAAGTTATCGACTTGATAAGTTAGTTTTAAAATATGAACGTTGCATTTACAACATTTCATAAGATTTTGAATAATTTTTATGGGTCTATTTTAATCATTTACCGTTTTACAGAATTTCTCCTTTACGTAAAGGTATATAAAATAAAATTATTATTATTGTTATTCCAAGAACTATGTTAATATAAAAGGCTGCAAAGGTACTCTCAGTACATGTAGGCATTCATCTTAGTTTCCTATAGCATGCAATCGATCTAGCTACTTCACCACATTTGAATGAGTGCGGAAAGAAGTTTTTACTTGCATCATAACTGGATCTACAGTTTAAGATAGAATCCGAAATACCGGAATCACGTTAACAAACATATGAAAAATACATTTCTCAACATTTCCACATGATTAGGACTCAAACCCATGATTTATTACATAGAAGCCTAAGCTTTTATACACCGAGACCCGTGACTCCTAATTCTTCTTAGTAACTTATAAGATTTTCATAAGAATATACTATTTTCATTTAACCAATAGAAAATAATCGAAAAATAATTATATATATATATATATATATATATATATATATATATAAACACTAAATATCATAAACTAATTATTACGGAATTCTCTTAATATTACTGTATAGAATTTCAGATAAACTGTTCATCCAACATAGATAATAGACCAGTTTCCTAAAAGTAATAATTTTTTGTCTCTTAAGAAAAATTATGCTTCACTATACAGATTTCTGCTGGAAGAAAGAGCCTAATTTTTAATTTAAGAGCGAATTATTTCTACCTCTAGGTATAAATACTTGAATGTTGGGTAACAGAAGTTAATTTTGTAATAATAATTACAAATATATTACGATTCAAGATCGATCATGTACAAGTCAGACTTCATATAAGCTCTTATGTATATAGTCCAATTATTGAGATAAATACAAATTATTGGTATAAAATGATAACCAGCAACTTATGCTAGTTAATTTATTGTATCGAAATATTTTACTTCAACCAATCCCTCTTTAACGTATTATTTAACATAATTTTTTTTATTTTTCGTAAATATTATGACGACGGATTGTTTTTTTAAATTATTTTTAAGGTTACAAATAATTTAATGAGAACCTTCGTTTTTCGGTAAAAAGCAAGGTTGATCGCCTTTTGCTTCGAAATCAGTTTTATAGAATTTTCATTCCGAAATATGCAAGCCAGAGCTAAATAGAGTAAAATCTCGAACTTTGTATAAACAAATCCCCATAATAAAAGTATAAAGTCGCGCCAGAATGCACTCTTCTTACCTCGCGCTCTTGTGAACCGCCCGTTTTCGAAGTCGTAAAATGCAATCTGCATCCTGTTTACCATGCGCTCACCGACTTTTTATTTTTTTTCTCATAAATAATGTTCAGACTATAATTTGACAATTTGAATGTCATAACAAATTATAAATGATAAAAAGATCAAAGATATATTAAATATACATTTTTCGCTCTCACGTAAAATACCGACATAAATCGATGGAAAATCCTTTCGAAAAACTAAAATATATCAAATAAAAAAGACATTTTTGTTTATTATTATTGGAAAGCCGTTATGCTCAGAGAAAGTTAAAAAGAACAAAGAAAGAAACAAAAAAAGCTTATAATTATTATAATAAATTACTTAAGTATAATCGAAAAAATAAACATAATAAGGTAATATTAGATTACCTTATTATCAAGTTACCTTATTATTAAATCTTTCATTTTAAGATGTAAATTCGTAAATAAATAAATGTAACATATAAAGATAAATAATGGTGAAGAAATTCCTTGCACATTTATTATAAATAATCGTGCGAATACAATTCGAAAAATTCATACTCGAAGAGCCATCTCTTGAAGGAAAGACTCAAGTCAATGAGTTCACACCCTTAGCAACCCCAAAAAATTCACGCCTTCCGACCAATTAGACCCCGGAAAAATAAAGAGGACCAATACAGAATAAGGGGCCGGACTTAAGTTTCCACATACGAGGATCTAGGGAAGGACGAATTCCTTTTCGCCATTCTGAGGGAATAAAAGGATCTACCCATCGCTTGCAAGCAAGTTTTTGCACCTTAGCATTATACGAAAATGAAAGGATTCCAACATCCATCCAACCATCTAGCAGCAAAATCAGAAAAATAAACGTGCAGGGCTTAGTACTACGTATTTGTAGTTAAGGGACTTCGACACCAAAATAAAAAAAATAAAAAGAGTTCTTGGGCGGTACTATCCCGCCACAGCTCCCAAAAATGAATTCTGAGATCGCGACCTAGCCAGTCGTCCTAAGGAAAGTGAAGGTCGAGAGTAGAGTTGCTCAGCTAATGGTCTTGAGATAACGACATGCTACGACATGTTAAAAATTTGGAGGCTCTAGATGGATTTTACTGTCGCAAATGCAAATAGGACATTAACATTTTCCTTTTCTGTGGTGTTTCTAGTGAGAAATAATTTTTTTTCAGCATAGTGGAAAAGAAAGAAAAAATAATAAAAATTATTAATGAAATTTAAGGAAGTATTGACAAAAAAAAATAATCATTGAAGTAAACTGAAAAAAATAATTAAGAATTGCAATTGCGAAGAAAATATTAATTTTCGAAAGAAAAAGAGGAAAATTTAATTATATCACCTTATCCATCAACGTCCAATAAAGAGAAAAAGTATGGGTGTTGAAAACATAAAAAAAAGATAAAAGGTCGGGAAACACGCGCATGTGTGACGCAATTAGAGAAAACCCGATGCCGAGATTAGAGCCGGAAATTATTAAGAGTACCTACTCTTAAAAATTGGATGCGCGAAAGACTTCGGATATATGCGCGGAAGACGCGGCTGTTCTCGAGGACCACCCGTGGACCTATTCGTAATGTGAGCTGTAATTTTCAAAAAATAGGAGAGACTTGTCATAGTTTAGCAAACGATACGGCGAGAATTCATGTAAACTTGCGCGCGCTTTAGAAATTTAAGTTGTTTATGCCGATTAATCGTTAAGTATACGCACTTTGTAAACCTCGTGCAAATGAGATGACGAGACTGAGTGACGAATTGAGAATGTGTGTGCTGGCTCGTTTGTTACTCTCTCGCATCTCTACCTCTAGCATATGGACCTGCACGAGCGCATTACAGCGTTATTGTAGCCGTGACACCCATCTTTAGCTTCGAGGAGTCAGATCTTTGAAGACTATAGACCTCACGAGGGAGGTAACTCTTCCAGGCATTGCAGGTCACAAGAAACGACAAAGGATAGCACATGGCTAACCTGTGGATCGGTCGGGCGGCAGAGAGAGAGAGAGAGAGAGAGAGAAAAAGAGAGAGAAGAAACGGCCATAGTAAGAAAGGAAAGCGAAGCGGAAAGAAAATGGGGGAGTGCGTGTTGTTAGGGTCCGAAGTGGGGCAGAGCCTGTTAAAAATCGGCGGCGGTGGTGCTCGAAAGACCCTTGCATGCTTCGCATGTAAAGAGAGCGGGCAGTACTATTTTTGACTGCGAACTGACAGCAATAAAAAGGAAAAGTCCGTCTAATTTGTTGCTCGAGCGCCGTGATTAAGTTTTGTACGTTCGAACTATCATTCAGTGTTGTTTCCATGTAAAAAGTTATCGTTTGGTTTCATGTGTTCGTAATAAAAAAAAAAGGTTTCATTTGGATTAAGTGGCTTCGTTATTCCAAATATTTATCCTGTTTGACCTCACCCTTAACAATGGGGGATTAAAAACACTTATGATACATCAAGAAATAAATTTTAGACATCAAAAGAAAATTACTTTCTGTAGTAATTGTACCGACGCGTTTTTGAATAAAAATAGATTTCCTTTAATTTCGGATAGTTTTAAAAGCAAGAAACAATATAAAAGAAACAAAGATTGAATTAATGAAATTAAAAGAAAATCTTAAAATTAAAGAGTCAATTTAAGACTTTAAAGGAAATCGATTCTAGAATAGAAAAGATATAAAAACAAATACAGCAAAAACACGAGGAAATAAAAGAAATCAAAGAGGTTAGAAAGAAATTTAAAGAAAAAAAATCAAAAACTCAATTATTAGGTGGTGTATTCCGTGACGATGAAGTCATTTAGTTCTTTTAAGGAAAGCATGTACAAACGGTTTAAAATTGTTTCTCCCAAATAATTGTAAAGTAATCCAATCATTAAATGAACGAATTATAGAATTATATATATATAAAGGTTTCTTTAGAATCTTAATCCATACTGTGATGATTCGAATAAACGATTGATACGATGTCAAGCGACCCGAAAATCACAAGTCAGGAAAACGACGCCTAAATATAAAGAAGAAAAAGTTTTACAAATCTGTGATTAATGACAAGACGAAATAAGATATCTGAAAATACTATGGACTTAGCCATCACAGACTACATCGAAGTTAGATTAACTTGTCGCGAGTTTAGCCCTCATAAGTTACAGCGAACTTACATTAACTTGTCTGGAATTTAATGTTTGTGGATTACGAGGGTGGTTAAATTCCTTAGAAAAAAATAGAAAAACAATTTTTTTTGATAGATTTTCTTTTATTTTTTAACATAATCTTCTTTTAGCTCGATACACTTTTTCAGGCATACTTCAAGTTTTTTTAAGCCATCAGAAAAAAATAATTTTGGAAGTTCCTCAAAATAGCCATTTGTTTGTGTTATGACTTCCTCGTTTGAGGTGAATCGTTATCCGGGAAGTCACTTTATTAGGTTTAGAAATGAAAATAAGACACTAGGGGCTAAATCTGGCGAATACGATGGAGGGTCTACTAATTCGAACTTCAATTCCTTAATTTTAGCCATTGAAACTAAGGAAGTGTGCACTCGTGCATTGTCTTAATGAAATAGAATTTTTTTTGTTCAAATGAGGATGTTTTTCCTTTATTTTCTCACTTAACCAGTCCAACAATGACGCATAATATTCTCCGGTAATTATTTATCTTTTTTCTAAATAGTCGACGAAAATAATTCCACGTAGATCCCAAAAAACAGTGGCCATAACCTTGCCGGCCGATTTCACT